CCCGTTTGTAATCTAAAACGACTGAAAATTGCAAATTTCGCAGGGCTATATTATCCGCATTTTACAACATTTCGCAACGAAACTTTGGAATATTACTAATTTTGTGATGCTCTTTCAAGCTGTGATGAAATATTTGTCTAGACTTGCCTAGATCAAAATTTTGGTTATAAGGGGAAAGGTCTGTTGGCAGTGGTTAGTGTACATGCCTCTATAATTTAGCTCAGTTTACAAACCTTGATAGTTGCATCAGCAGAACCGCTGACCAGTTGAGTGCCGTCGGGAGAAAAGTTCACAGTGTGAACCCAACTTTTGTGACCATGAAACACATTCAGTTGTTCTTTAGTGACACTGTCCCAAAGCTGCAATGAATCGTATACAGTATACGGTCTGTCGTATATTTCGTTGGCGGGATTCAGTAATGCTGCTAAATAATTGCCTATAAATATCAGCTTCCTTCTAAATACAGTAGGTCTGATAATAATTTTGAAATAAATAAAAATATAACCGTATATTGTGCCCTATTGATGTTAACTCAAATCTTGAGCGCACAAGATGCTATTATCAGGAGTACTGTACTGTACTGTATGTTTTGTTTTGATGTTTTGAGCTTAGTTGAACCCGCCGAATATAGCGTATAATATTCTAATTAGTATTTAGATGTTGCACAGTGCCAATTGAGTATCATGCATGGTAGCGCAGCAAAAGTAGAGCTGTGCAAACTCCAGTTTTTCAGCTCCGGCTACTTTCCGGCTTAAATATCTGGCTCCGGCTGCCTTGGTTCACAACTCAGGAGATAAGTCCGGATAATGGCGGATATTATTCGGCTCAATTTTGTCCCCAAGGTGAGATGATGTGATGCAGCGTATCAAAGCATGACGCTTACAATTGTATTCCAACTCTTTCTGTGATAAGATAGATCACAGACATAATGACTTGTTGCAATTTGGCCGTTTGCAGTAACCAAAAATGGTGAAATGATTTGACACGACAGATATGACTTCGGATTATATGTACTTTCAACAAATTCAATGTTGCCATTATTTGTAACCAACGCTAATTCTCCGAAGTTGTCACATTTCTTGTCATTCTGACTTTCCAGCCGGAGTTGAGAGAAAGTACTGCAACTCCGACTCCAGCTGCCCGAAAACGTCGGAGCTCCGCCTGAACTTCGGTCTCCGGCACACAGCACTGCCCGAAGCAAAAGTACAAACTAAGACGCTTCCAGCATCAACAACTGATAGATTTTAATACAGTATATAGTATAAGCCGACATTGAATATTTTCAGTATATGCTATACCTGCACGGTGGCATCTGATAGAGCCACAGCAATCTTGTGTTCCACAGGAGATAATGCAAACGCTAAAACTTCTTCAGCCATTTCAATAGAGCCACAAGATTCCCCAGAATCACTATTCCATATCTAATGGGAAAACAGAGAAAAATAATATGTAATCTTTGTGATACACCATTGCACAGCAGAAATCTATATGAAAAGTAGAGTGAAAATGGCGGAAATTAAGTATTTGATATTTTGATCACTACTTCGTAATACTTCAATACTGTACTTCAATAATTTATTTCACCACCATTTATACAAATTAAAGCAATAATTAAATTTACAACAATTCTTTCAAAGCATAGAGATAAAGAAGCTTAAAAAAAACCTCAAGGCTTAAATAAATTTAAGCAATACAGTAGATTGCTTTTGGTAAAATATACATGCACATGAAGAAAGAATTTATATTTACCCGAATAACGGTTGCTGAGCTAGCGTATACCAAAGAATCATCACGTTCAAAGCAGCAATATGAAACGAATCGGTCATGTTTATCAGTCGTGACCAAGCATTTCCCTGTAGCAGTTTCCCAAATCTAAAGAAAAGACAGGAGTGCATCCTTTAGAAAATGTGAAAATTATGGCAATGAGAAAATATAATTTAGGATTAATGATAATGACGGTGATGATGATGCTGATCAAAATTATGATGATAATGATGATGATCATGATAACGATGATGATAATGATGATAATGAAGTGTACTATGTAATATCAACCTTGACAGTTTGGTCATCAGATCCGGATGCAATTTTCAAACCATCAGATGAAAAACAACACCACCGAACAACCTCTGAATGACCTTTACATACAACACTAGTCACTCCTGTGTCACAGTTCCAGATCTAGCGAAAATAAAACAGATATCTTAGAATTTAATCCAAACTTACATGTATCTAAACTTTGGTCGGGCGTACAGGATCCTAATGTCCGGAAAAAGCTTACAATTTGAAAGATTTCTATTAAATCACTGAGTTAAATTACACCAATTAGAGCAGCTTACAGTACATGCAAAGAACGACGAAGAGACTACATACCCTGATCGTGGTATCAGCTGAACAAGAAATAACTTCTTTCCCCGTCGGTGAAAATGCCGCACAATGTATGTCCTGTTTATGACCTTCGTATGTGAGTTTTAACTCATGCTGGACACCAAGTTTCCAAATCTATATAAAGCAAAATCATCAGATATTTAACATTGTCGATTCCTTATATCTGTAAACGAGGTTTAAAATAATTATTAACTTCAGAATTTGTCTAAAGGAAATTTGATGATGCGAATTATTAATTCAATCAACGCACTGTATTCAACAGGTTTTTAAGCAGTGTGCAAGAAATACGATAGACATGTGTTCGGCGATGCAATTTGTTCAATGCAGATATTTTATTATATTTTGTACCTTGACAGTTCTGTCATGAGATGTGGTTAAAACCTTGGTATTGTCGTAGTTGAAAGCACAACAAATGACGATATCGTCATGATCTTCAAGACAATGAAGTACTTTCCCAGACATCGCTTCCCAAACCTATAGGATTACAAACAAAAGGAATCAGAGAATTCTTGTTATTAGTTTCTTTGCGTCTATGGACCTTGATGATCGCCTTGGCATTGCTCTTCCAACATTGAAGTATAAGGCCTCGTTTACACGAGACCGGGACAAAGTCAATCCGGGACTACAGTATTTCAATTGTCCTGTAATAATACCAGAGCATTAAGCGATATTTCTCATTAGATCTCGGGAAAAACATCTTATGTAGAGCAGATAGAGGTGTTCAGAATGAAAGAATTACTGCAATTGTTTTGGTTTAATTAATTAATAAAGTTTGCGTACCTTGGCCTTTCCATCAGAGGACGAGGATAGAATAGTTTTACCATCCGATGAAAAAACACAACAATGAATAGTTCCATCGTGAGGTTTCACAGTCATTTCAAGAGATTGGGCGCTTTCACTTTCTTTGTTACTACAAAGAGAATTTATTTCTTGCTTACTTTTGACCAGTTTATATTGAATTTTCTGAGGTGGCTACCTAATCAAAATTATTATCCTCATCAACACCATTTGCATCATCATTATCATTTATCACTCACACCATCATCACCAACACCATCCCACTGTAACCATCATGATCATCATTTATCATTATCATCACCAGATTCATCAACCATCATCATTGCCATCACCACTATCATCATTGCCATAACACCATCATCACCATCACCATCAGTCAGATGAACTAGATTATGCGTGAACAACTTACCACCAATCTACGTAATGTCTGCTCTGTTTCGATCTTTTTAAGGCCTCCTCTTTTGCTTGCTTGTAAACATCGTTGTCTCCGGGTTCACTCAATGCGGTCTGAACAATGTCAGGAATAGGACGACTTGCAAACATGTGTGCGTTTGTTCTCACAAAATTATAGAAATCTTTCAGATTCTTAAATTCGTCTTTCTACAAAGAAATGTTTAGTGAATTACGTACTACAATATATCATTCGATGTGTATTGGCAGGAAAGGAAGGTTACATTCCTTTCCTGCCAATAGAAGGAAAGGAATTACCTTCTGAAGGCAAAGATGGAAAGATAGAAAACGACCACATGTAACCTACGAGGTAGGCCACATTGGATAGATTGTGTCAACCTTAGGAGGATTTGAGAAAGATAACATCAAGGAAGAATTGGCTATAATGGGAAGGAGATTGCGGCAAAAAGAGACACGAGGATGATGATTATTATAGAAAGTAAAAGGCTTTTTGATACAAATAAACAAGGATTTCGAACGCCTTATCTACGAAGATATTCTGAAATATATATTTACTCAAAATCATAATCAAAATGGTCGCGTACTTCTTCCTCCTCGATAAGTTTATCAACTTTGATATAATCGTTGATGATATCAGCAGGTCCGCTCACTTCAAGTTTTCTTGTCACCCAAGCAAGGTTTGTGAGAAGCTGAATTGCCTTCCCTTGTTGTTTTGCTTCGAGCATGTGGTGAACGAGATTCCAATAGACATAGCCATCGTCATCAAGGCTTGAAAAATCTCCTAGAAGAGTATGGTTCGCGTAATATTAAATTGAAAAGAAAATTTACATTCTGCCTCAAACATATAGGCTAAAAAAGGACCAACCACGGACCTTAGTTCTACATAATTCTTAACAAAATTTCTAAAAAAGCTTGGAATCTAACTGTATATAAATTTTCGTTCGAAAATTCCATCTATATTCAGTTAGAATCTAAAAACACTACCCATACCATCATATCTGCCGTTGAACTCTACAGAGAGCTATTTCCCATAACCAAGGATGTATTTACTATGGGGTACAGGGGTACGCATCCCTCCCAACCTTGGCAAAAGGGGGTGCATGGGGGGGGGGGTAAATTTCCTTATCAAATCCATTTTTGAGTTTGAAAAAGTATATTAACAAAAACAAAAATATAGACAAAATGAGGTAGTAACATAATTGCTGCCGTATGTAGCTCCCTCTAGTGATTACCCATGCACTTGGAAAACGTTCGCACCTATACCATTACCAAAAATAGATTAGCATCCCCCATTCCAGATCTGGCTGGATCCATGCATCCCTGCTCATAACCTCTTTGGTGATGTTGCACCTTACCCCTGCCTTGTACCCAGTCGCTGCCCGCTCACTATTGCCCGCTACCTTCTACCCAGTCGCTGCCCAGGAAACTGTTGGGTCTCATCTGCCTTATCCCATACAAGCCAGTGAATCCACAACATAAATATCTCTGCTGCTTGCATCGTACTCTCTTTCTAAACAATTATACCTCTTTTACACGCTTTCTTATAGCATTCAACCAGTCTCCTGTGACGAGCTTCAATGTCATCACAATTCTCCAACATGTAGTTCAACTGTAAGTTGTGTATGGCATAACCTAATGGTCCGTGGGGAGAGTCTGCGCACTGTGTGGTCTTCACCAGAGATTTGTCGATCAACTCAGCCATGATGTCTTCTACGTCTTCTTTCTAAGTAAAACGGAACGGATGATCAATATATGATAGTTTATTACGCATTACTAAATTGGGTGAAAATTATTTCCTACTTCCTAGGGAAATCCAATGTGCGTAAAAGGGACATGGCCTGCCACTTCATGGCTATGACCCGATCCTTAAGCCCGCCGCACACGAGATAATCTTGCTGAGCAAACTGCCTCGCGTGCAGGCTAGCTCAGCATGTTTCTCTCGTGTGCGGTCTGATGATAGCGGTATGCCCATACTATGATGATGAGTTCAAGCCCAGGTGAAAATATATTACATTTTGCGAGCATTAAAAAAATTGAATTTTCTTCCATACCTCCATATCCCAAAGCAAACAAAACACTGAAATGGGAACTTTGATAGACGAATCAAATATAACAAAATCATGAAATTTGTTCCTCAAGTCATTTTTCAGATTCTCGATACTCATGGCAATAGCTTCGCTCAGGTTTGGATATTGGTACGCAAACTTCGATTTAAATTTCCTCAGCTTGTGGTTACGTAATAACGTATAGTAATGCAACCATCGTTGTGGATGGTCTCGCAGTAGCGCGCCAATTATGCTGATTACCAAAGGATGCCCGTTGCATTCCTCAATGATGTTGTCAGCTTCTCTTGGTAACTCCGTCATGTGCATGTTGGTCCATTGAGATAGGATATCCATACATTGGTTCGAGTTTAATCCCTCGGTTACGCTCACTGGGCATCTCATGACTTCGATACGATCAGCAATACTAACATCACGGGTAGTGACTAAAACTCGAGCACGGATATCGAAGAACCGCGCATCGTGAGCACTCCAGAGATCATCAAGGACCAACAGCGTCTTCGGATGTTGCTCCCTAAAAAGAGTCTGAAGACGCTCGCGGGCTTCTTCAAGGTTGCGTGGTACCGGTGTGTGTTTATCTTCATCCAGTCGGGTGCAGAGATTTTGCATCTTCATCAGAAGTCTCTGGCGGTCTACAGGTCCAACTTGCATCCACACCACTCCTCCAGGGAAGGTTTCGTCCAGTAACGAGCCACTGCGAAGGGCATCAGCAGCAAGGACAGTCTTGCCACATCCAGCCATGCCGTGAAGCACGACCCATGCATCGCGGTCTTTCAAAGAACGCAACGCCGTGCGTAAATTGTGTCTTTCACGTGGTCGTTGCGTGAACACCTGAGGTTGTTTCGGGACCCCTCCTTCCAGCAGTTTTGATTCCACTACAATAAACAGGGGTTGTTATAAAGAACATACTGTAGTTACATTAATTGCCATTATAGAGGATTGCACTAAAAAATTGAATCAAATAGTGAATGCAATAAAGATACTGTATGAATAGAAAAGTTATCAAAGAACGCAATTCTGTAAGTTAGAAATTACAATATTGTATTCTTTAGTCTATCCAGGTTTCACAGTCACGCGGGAATATTACTATACATCACCCGTTTTTGGGGTAGCATCGAAGGACAGCGAAGGAAGCCACTGTCACCGAATTCCCCAGAACAACCTTCTAACATGTCTGATAATGCCATCAAGCTTGTTAAAAGTTGTTATAACAGCTCCAAACTTGTCAGTTACAACAACTGGGAATAAGCAGTGTGAACACAACTTCTCGATAGCTTATGAACAGATTTGTAACAACTTGTTTGCAGGTCTTGAAGTCACGTGGCAATATTACGTGGCCCGTTTTTGGGAGCTAGTATCTATGGACAACAAAGGAAGCTACGTACTGTCATCCAGATTTACCAAACAGCTTTTTAAACTTGTATTAAGACATCAACTGGACTTACATCCCAAGCAAACCTGGCTGTGAAATTTTGACAGCTACCTGACATCATGTTATGTTTCTATTTAGCTATAAACATTTGCCACCCAAAGTGATAGAAGTCAAACAATTATTAGGTCTCAAATATCGGTCAGTCACAGACATTGTCCAACCTATTCATGAAATTGTTTGACTATAGAGAGGAAACCACTGGGCATTCTGTATGACCTACAGTAAGTGAAACTGAGGTATATTTATTTGTTTGTCTGACTCGAATGAATTGGTGTCCAACCTGACTGTAACTTGGTCTAATGTAAAAAATGTACCCTAATGTAGTCGAGGACTAGAGGCTCATATGTTAAATGGATTGAGGATCAGAGTAATGTAATTATTAAAAAGTGAACTGAAATGACGTTTCCATGCATCCTCTTAACCCAGCCTTTAAGTCAGGCAATGCACCCTGATGTGCCCTACTTTGGTATTTTACTCTGTCTAAGTGGAGAGTGCCACTCATTGGGTTAATTTGTGTCTAGTGCATTCATATTTATTTCCAAGCCAAATGCATGAGTTCAAAGTCAACGAACATCACAATACATATATGTCCAACGCAAACTCAAAGTCATTGAACATTTTATCAGACAGTTACTGTATCTACCTGATATTTCAAGGCCTTATTATGTTGAATTATGTATTGTGACGTCACTTACAACATATAGCATGTACAGTTATTGTATGCTAGTTATTAAACTCCAGCCTTACCAATCTCTTGACTTTCACTTGCAAGTACAGAAGGGAATCTTGATCTTCCTGGATCCTTCTGCTCTTGTAACAATTCAGCCAGATGGGGATAAGGTTCTCTCAGAGCAGACAAAAAATGCTCAAAAGCTTGATCCCCTCTCGTCACCAGGAGATCCAGAAGCTTTTCAGCTTGGCGTTTTGACGTCTTTTCTGAACGAATCAATTCTTTATCATTGCTGTCGAAGACATATTTTGCAAAAAGTTGAGCTAAGACATCATCCACAAGAAGATCTTCAACAATGTCCACTCTCTTAGATATAAGTAATTCTTTGTGGGCTTCTGTCATTGGACCTAGTTTGGTTACAGAAAACTGTCATGGTTAATAATCCTTTATGCTAATCAGACTATCTGCCCATGCATGCATAATGTTAACTCTTTAAGTGGCAATGTGCCTAGTTAATTGATACATCGGCCCTACTCGATTATTTTACGCTAGGAGTGCAATTGATGGAGTGATCATTTGATTGATTGTACAAGACTAGTATAAGCAGGACATGATCAGCTCCTTATTAGGAGACAACCTGGTAAGTGAGATCTCACCGTGTAGTTATTTTTATATGGACAAATGGGCTAGTGGACCGGTTGCCAAGATCTTGCTTGAAAGAAAGAAGAGGGCTGACCCAGTTGCCAGAACCAACTGTGTAGTAGAGGTGTGCATCGGATCGGATTGTACGTTTATAATCCGACAATTGCCTAATTTTTAAAATCCGATCCGATCTGAAATTGTCTAATCTGAATCCGATCCGAGTTTTGATAAAGAATTCCAATCCGATCCAAAGAATTAATCTTTAATAAAATAAATTTTTCATTCCAGTTGAAATATCTAACCAAATAAATATGAAAGCAAGAAATACATGTCAAGAAGCTGACAAAGTGACGTCCAATTGAAGTATCAAACTAATAATGCAGCAACAACCTCGATAATGCTTTGATAAGTGCATGGATAATTAATTCTTGCGATAATGCGTGGATAATTAATTTTATTTCGGATATCGAAGTCCAATCCAATCCGATCCGACTACGAAACAACTTTATCAATCCGATCCGAAATGAATATTTTGGTTCCGAAATCCAAACGAATCCGATCGGATTTGCACACCTCTACTGTGTAGTTACTTTTATATGGTCAAATGGACTGGCCCGGTTGCCAATATCTTACTTGAAGAAACAAGAAGGCTGACCTGGTTGCCAAGATGAAAGTTCAACTTTAGATGCTGCTATTTTTAACAATTCTGTCAAAATGTCAAATGAAATTATCTCATATAAACACAAGAGAAATTAATTCCGCTTTCCGGGCTGTCTCGCTAAGCAGGCCAGCCCGTCTTCCATATAAACAGGCTTCCATATAAACATATAATACATTATTATTGTATTCTAATTAATATTCTAATTACAAAGCATTTCATTATATGCATACCAAACTAATAAATACCATACCATACCATTAATACCAAACTTCGCTGACAAAATTTTATAAGACAACTTATCCGGATGGAAGATCGAATCATTAAATTAATCACTGATGGTATATCTTATGAGATCCATCCGATTACACCTACTAATTACCTACCTTCACTTGTTAAATTGTTGTTGACTGCATGCAGTGGTCCATCGTGACTTTCACTCAATCCGCCCTCCAGCAACTTAGCCAAATGCTCATATTTCTCAAGCAGACAATTATAGAAAGCCTGAAATGCTTTATATCCTTTAGTAGGCAACAAATCTAAAAGCTGTTCCGCTCTACTTCGGCTTGTTCGTTCCGACTCTACCAATTCGCTGTCATGTTGGTCTATGATAAAATCGCTTCGTAGTTCGGTCAACACGTCTTCTACGAGCAAATCTTCAACGATCGCGGCTCTATGGACGATCAGTAAATGCCTGTGTGTCTCTAGCATTTTACTTTCGGTTTGGATTTAAATGATTTGTCAGCAGGAACAAGATAAAGCATATTTCCTGCTCGAAATATTTCATTGAAAAATCCATGCCCAAGACTCGAGCGGAAGTGTCAACAAGAGCCCGCCATTCTTATGACGAGCGCCTTTTGTGATTATATTTTGCAATACTTTATATTACGAAAGTCACCGAACTGTGGAATCGCATATGCATAAAAAATTCGTATATCGACCACTCCCACAAACGTCTACGACCACATGATTTTTGTTGTGAACTATATTATTCACAGCACTACCTGCGAACAGGCATACTCTGGCGTCCGGAATTCTGGGTTTTCTGATTATGCGTGTCTCAGAATGCTGCAAATGCCATTTTCGGGATTCAAATTTAGAGCCCCCCCCCCATTATTTCCTAAAGTGTCCACCACTTGCACACACGGTGGCTTAAAAGGTCTTAAACCGGTTTATTCTATCGATAAATAAAGGGGTTTTTTATTGACTGGGATTTCAATAACTCGGACTGGGATTTCTAATAAAAATTAATCCAACTGGGACTGGGATTTTGCCAAAATTTCAAGTGGGAAATGGGATTGGGACCCCCCAGTGGCGCCGTGGCCGGGGGGGGCCAGGGGAGGGCATGGGCCCCCTATTGTGGAGACCCGTCGGAAAATTGTGAATGTTGTCGGAAATTTTTGGAAAATTGTCAACGTTGTCGGAAATTGTCAAAGTTTCCGACGTTGGTATATTCGGAAAATCTTGGATAAATGGAAAAAATTGGTGATGTCCGGAAAAATTTTAAGATGTAACGAAAAATTTTGGTATGTCCGGAAAATTTTTTTTACCCCTAAAATGGTACACTGACCGAAATTTTTTTGGTGACGGGGGGAGGGGGGTGTCGCCCAAAAAAATTTCAGTTAAAAAAAATTTTCGCGACGTATCTGTCGGAAACTATTTTCCGGTTTGTCGGAAAAATACTGCCGTTGGCCCGCCCCAAAAAACATGGGTCCCACGGCGCCACTGGGGACCCCCCCCGTTCAGGACCCGTATATAGTAAACGTTATGTAATGGATATTATAGTGTACTGAAAAGTTAACTGGATACCTTTATACACATATATACACACCCTAACCTTAAACCTAACCTTAACCCCTGAAGGTCCATATACACCGGACGTGATTCAACAACGCGATGCGATTTTTCGATTTTCACTGACCGATAACTTTGATCCTAGTTTAAATTTTCCAAATACTTAGAAGCGCTATAACATTTTGAGTTATTTGGTCTACATATCTTTCAAAATTTGCCGGCATTGGCGGTTTTCAATTAACTTTCAAAAACTAAACGCGTTGCGTTGTCCAATCGTGTCCGGTGTGAATGGACCTTAACCCTAACCTATATTTGTGCGCGAAACATGGAACGATAACCCAATTTGGGCAACAGACATAAAATCACAACGACGCCATTTTCAATTCAATTCAATGAAATTTTATTTTTACTGATCGGTATTTTGCAACATTTCAATCATTTTATATGTCTACAAAAGACTAGCAGTTGCATTTCGTGGAATTTCGCTCTAAAATAAAACAAAAAAACTCACATAAATTAAAGGTGAGGGTAAGGGACCAGCCGAGCTTACTCAAACAAATTCGTAGTGCGCATTCGTAGTGCGCATCACTAGTCTGAACGTGCTAACTTCATTTATTCATGGCGAAGGTTGAGTAAACAAAATTTTGAGTGAGTCAAAGGTTAACGTTGGGTAAATGAAAAACAAAATATCTCAACGGTTGGGTAATAAAAATTTATTGTCATTTCCAAAGCATGACTCACTCAAATATTGAAGACTAAAAAGCAATGTCAACAGTCATATGTCATCTGATAATGAGTAAATCAATCAGAGTCGACTGTCTTGATTATTTTCTGATTTGTCAGGAGGCGAATGGTGTCTCCAAAGAAAGTACATGTGCAGACCAAACATGAAACAATTTAGACTGCAGAAAATTGCACAAGCAGTTATCAAACTCACGAAACAGAAATGGTAAAGGATATGTGACAATTGAATGGCATTTGAGGTTGGGTAAAAGAAATCATTTTTGACTTTTTAATGGTTGGATCGGCAAAATCAAGAAAAACATTTCTCTTCGATGCTCTCCCCCGCCATAAATAATGACCGATCCCTAATTTTTTTGTTGTGCGGAAGACAGCACCACGGATTTCTTGTTGACTGCAAACCCTCAACAAAATCCACGGGATGTATACAGCTATTTCAATTAAGGTTGTCCCCGAGCAAAGCGGAAATGTTGAATACGAGGGCTTGCTGGGAAACGCTAAAAAAATCATTAATTTTTTATCGAATGCCAGCAAGCCTTTGGCGCTCGTGTTCGACTTTTCCGCTTTGCTCGGGGATAACCTTAACTGAAATAGCTGTATGCTGTAAAAAAGGCGTGCGATAATTTTTGGGAATTCCAATTCCTGTGGAATTCAATTTGAGAATTAAATTTTTTGCCGATTTTAAAGTAAATTTCTTGTGTCTTAGCTTCTGTTGACCTTTTTTTAAGGGATTTCGCGGATTGTAATTCAGGGTCATATGACAATTCTAAAGGCCTGATTCCACGAGGCGGAATTTTTCGACCGAAACGAAATTTCTCTTTGTCTTTTTACAATTAGTTCTGCTCGAGAGCTCATGAAACAAAGAGAAATTTCGATTCGGTCGAAAAATTCCGCCTCGTGGAAAACCGCCTTTAAGGATTTTATGGACATTTTTCGATCGATCAATTTTGGAAGATATTTTAAGACTTTTTAGAATTCGATTTTTGATACACCCTCGGCAATCATAATCTCAATGTTAATCTTACGCTCGATCTAATCCTTGTTAATTTCAGTGAAATATTTATGTAGAGCCCAGCTTAATAATAATTACCCTTAACAAAGTTTGCAAGTTCGTTTGCAGTTGTTTTTCACGTAATTGTTGCTGCGACAGTATCCCGTCCATCCTGGACACCGTCTGTCTTTATCACTGCAGCTCGGCCCAGGCCCTGGCTGAGTGCCACCGCAAAGACGACATGTCTTCTTGCAGTTCTTCTTTACGTAATCATTGTTTCTACAGTATCTCGTCCATCCAGGGCAGTTTCGGTGGTTGTCTTGGCAATTACCTCCTGATGTGCAGAAATGACAGGACAATATAATGTTAAGATTACCCAGAGCAACCTATACGAACATGTTGCGTGATTCGCTGATTATAGACAATGAAAAACAATAACTGAAACTGGAAAATAGATTTTCTGAAGAACAAGTCGCAACATTCAGTGATCACGTTTGTTCAAAGACGGCAATCACAAAACATGTTTATAAACTATTACGATACGGTAAACGTTATCTGGCAAATATCATAACTGACTGACACTATTCGTTATTAACATGCACCGGTCAAAATCTAAACTCGACAGATATACAGGGGCTGTTGAACTGGAGCACTGGAGCAGGTGCCCCCTCCCCCAATTTTTTTAAAAATGGGATGCTTCTGCGGCCTTTGTGGTTTTGCTCATGTTACACACACAAAAAGGTGTACTTTACAAATGTAAACACTTTTCATTGGGCAATTAACCATGTCTATGCATGGTTACATGATTATAAATACATAAAGTTCTATCTATACAGGGTGTCCTAAAAAACCAAAAAATTTGAATTTGAATATCTTAGCACTACGCTGAACGCAAAGATGCGTAATATATTCACAGGGTTTTCTGCTCTTGGGAAATTAAGGCAGCTTCTTAAACAGTTTCTTTATGTATAAAATTTACTTATGTCAAGCTTTGATGCACTTGTTCAGGGTTCAGCATGAGAGTGCTGAGGCATTCCTGATATATATTCTAATAATACGTTATTTCAATAGTCTTCGGTTTCTTCAGGACACCGGCCTAAATCACAGGCTTATGCAATTTAAGAAAAAAGACAATGATTGTTACCTACCGCCATTGGTCGGCCTTACAGTTGGACGAGTCGGCCTTACAGTTGGACGAGTCCCTAAAACAAAATGTGAACTAATAAAATATATATACGAGAACATTTTATATATACATATATACATATACATATATACATATATATATATATATATATATATACATATATATATATATATATATATATATGTATATATATATATATATATATATATATATATATATATATATATATATAGATGACAAAATACAATATTCGTATCAGCCAGTTCGACATTTATATACAACAGAATAGCTGGCTACGATCCGAGAGAAACCAATACTAAAAATGTACTAAAGTAAT